AAGATGTTCCTGTGGATGGTTGTTCGCATCAACCAACAGCTGGACACGAAGCAGCCCAGGCAGTACTTCATTGGTGTGCTGGACATTGCTGGCTTTGAGATCTTTGATGTAAGGAACACAGAAATCACAGGATAATCTTGAAAAGGCAGTTAGGCATCAACTGAAGCTGGAGGCTTATTGTAGGGGTTTTTTTTCAAACATTCCATTCACTTGCAATTTCAAACTAGTATTGCATTACTTGGAAAATTTGTTATTTTCTGGAAATGTTTTCCTTCCTTGTATATGTCAGTGCTTTTTCTCCAGAGCAATCTGTGAGCTTCAATGGATCTTCGTTTAATAGCTTTTTGCGATACACAAGGAAGAAGCATCTGCCTTTTATATAATTAGCACAAATCTTGCAGTTTTTCAATAATTTGAACTTATTATTAAAAAGATTCACTGACAAATAATGCATAAATATCCAAGATACAATATTACAGAGTGTAAGAAGAGAAAGGTAGACTTAAGTCTCACACCACAGTTTGCCAAGGCTTTGGAAAAAGAGAGCAATATATATCCTTTGCTTCTTAAGAGTCAAAGGGTGATTCCATCAGGAAGAGTGCATCAGCTGTTTTAATTGAAACTGAGAAGTTCTATAGACATTTGTGAAATGTATCTGAATCCAAGACAGGAATGGGAAACACTGGCAATGTCTAACTTTTTTTGTTAGGGTAACAGGAAAATGCACATAATATGAGGAAAAAATAGTGATGTAAATTGTGCCTTGATAGGGATAAGACTACCTAATAATTTGGGAATTTTATTTAAAAATAAATAATATATTTAAACATCATCCAAATAGCAAAGAAAAAAAACCAAAGCAAAAAAAAAACCCCACCAACCAAATAAAAAACCTTCAAAAATAGTTAATTGGATGTTTTAACATTAAAAAAATATTTGTGTTAATTGGGCATCCCTGCATGGGTTTCTGAGATGGGATTCTGAGTGCGAAGAAGAAAACTATACAGGGAGCCCTTCCTCTGGAGAATAAGTAAATCTTGTCTTTGCATTGTCTTTGGGCAGTTCAACAGCCTGGAGCAGTTGTGCATCAACTTCACCAATGAAAAACTGCAACAGTTCTTCAACCACCACATGTTTGTGCTGGAGCAGGAGGAGTACAAAAAGGAGGGAATTGAGTGGGAGTTCATTGACTTTGGGATGGACCTGGCTGCCTGCATTGAGCTCATTGAGAAGGTGTGTTGATTACATTTAAGATTTAGTTACCTTCTTTGTGACAGAATTTCAGGATTTTTCTTTAGCCTTACTTTTTCTTGCTCTAATGCTTCACAAACCTATCTATTATTATCCATTTATGTTTCTGGCTCTTTCTATTTGAAGTGTCTTTTTATTTCAAATATTGCATGTATTCTGAAAGTAAGTTCTAAGCACCTTTGTAATTAGGCTACAAATGAAGTACCTTTAGGTTATCCATTAACTGCACTGCTATGCATTTTAAAAAAGCTAACTGTAATTTTTCTTGTATGGCAATAGAAGAATTAATGTAATCACACATAATTGGATGACAAGGATTCTCCGTAGGTTTGTTTTCTAGACTACAAAGATGAAAGATCTCTTTTGAGGAATCTAGACACAATTTCAATATTATGATTTCCATATTAATACTATGATTTCTGAAACATAATTTCTAAGAAAAATAATAGATGCATACAGAAAAAAGTACTGATTTAACAGGGATCAATAAAAACATCACTATAAGCAGACACTGTTTTTGAGTAACATCCTCTTGTATAGGAACAGAAAGACAGATATATTTTCAGAAAAACAAGAGTAGGACGTAGCTGAAAGATCTGTTAATCTGTGGCAATAAGGTCAATTTTAGTAAGACACCTTTGACTATACAAATCACAAAACGTTAATGTAAAAAAAAAATCATCTTTCAATTCATCAGTTTCAAAATTACTCAGAAAATGTTGTTTGATTATTGTGACACTACCAGTCACGAAATGGATTAGTCAGACACAAATTCACATTTTGTCTGGAACCAAGAGTGCAAAAGTTGACAAAGATTTGATCCATTTTTTATCCGAAAAATCCATTAATTTCTCAGTTTCCTGTGTCTCCCTGCAGTCCCCTTCTGAAGGCAGATCCGTATTTTATCATTGTTATTTTTTGTTGCTTCCCCCAGCCCATGGGCATCTTCTCCATCCTGGAAGAGGAGTGCATGTTCCCCAAGGCAACTGACACCTCTTTCAAGAACAAGCTCTATGACCAGCACC